CTGCATGTTGAAAGCATTTTTAATTGCTCTTCTTAATTAATCCAATCAATTGTGCTGAAATAAAGATGTTAGAAAATGTTGAAATTATGGTAAAGTTTAAAAGCTTAAAATGATAACCTCTAAAACATAGTATGTCCTCAGGATCGAAGAATCAGTTGCTGATCGCTTTAATTGGTAGCCTGGCAGAGATTAATATTTCAGCCCTAATTAAGCCCTTATTAGGATCTTACTGTAGACTCTGCCATAAAATACCATAAAAAGCTGCACTGTCCTGTACAGTAGCCAGTAATCAGATGTGGCTATTGCGCTCTTGAAATGTCTGAACTGAGCTGTGTTGTAAATGTAATATAAATTTCACACCACATTTTGAAAACTTGTTATAAAAATTAAATTGATCTTATATTGAATACCCGTTGAAATAATATTTGGTATATATTAGATTAAATATGTTGTTAAAATTAATTTCACCTGTTTCATTTGCTTTTTTTGATGTGGCTACTAGAAAAATGTTAAGGACGTTAAGTCAGTGGTCCCCAACCTTTTTTGGCACGGGGTTGGGATGGGGCCTGAGCTCAGGCGGTGACATCACCGCTATAAATACAGATGAAGCTTCTTCAGCTGCCCCACCGTTCACCTGGTGCTGTGCTCCACCCACCACGCCCCCCCATTTTTCCACGGACAGTGGGGGTGGGGTCGGGGGCGGTGCAGCTCTGCGGCCAGGATGTTGGGGACCACTGACATAAGTGGCTCGTTTGTGGCTCTTGTATTTCTGTTGTATAGCTCCAATATGCAGACTACAGCTGAAGCATTTATGTGGCGAAAACTCTTGAAGCCTACCTGATACAGCTTTGCATGCTTGGTTTATCTGATAGTGATTCAGTTTTCCAATTTACTTTGCTCCTCTTTGGACAGTTTAGAATTTAGCTGTTGAATATGTGTGTAATATATTTAGTTTTGGATTTGAGTTTTTGCCAAACATAAAACGAAAAACCCTAATTTTCACGTTTTAAATTTTTGACCTTTAACACTGTAAATCTATACATCATACCTTTAGCCAGTATCATGAAGCCAACAGAGGCTCCAAGACAGGAGGAATATAAATCTTTGGATTGATTGGTTGGTTGCTTAACAGTATTACATGACTCTGTGTTCATTTCTTCACAGAAACAAGTTTTTCCCTGAGTCAGTCATCAGAAATATTATGTACCAAATATTGCAAGGCTTGGCTTTTATCCATAAACATGGTAGGTTCTTTCTAAGTCTCATTTCTCTGCCTCTTTAGATTACTGTCAAGATTGTACACAGAAATTGTATATGAACTGTTAAATAATATTCTATTGGATAACTACAAGTTTGGGGTATATGCCTATACATACTGACTTTTTTATTTAAAAGAATTTAGAATTTCTTTAGTCCTTTATGATATAAAGTGAAATTTCTATAATCTATAACTCTCTTCCTATAATCTATAACTATTAAAAAGTTGAATTTTTTAACAATTTGATCATCAGACCTTAGTCATCCTAAACCCAACTTGCAACCTTTATTCCCCTAATTTATTATGGAA